AGTGGACGTCAATCAAGTCGAAAGTGACCATTTGTAAGGTTGCATGAGTGGAGAGCTAATAAGATCGCCTTGACTAGGGCCCGCAAATGGTAGCAGAGGAGCTTGGGCCGGTTATCGGGGCCGGTCTCAATGCTGAAGATGACGAGAATCTGATGGGATGGAGGGAGACCAGATTGGCATCTGTTGATGCGTATCATTCAGAGAGAAGACGGCAAGGCAGGCGTTCCCAGAGCGGATTTTACAGGCACGTTTAAACCCAACCGACCCAATGCCACAGTGACCTCGGCCGGGATTAATGAGATTTGAAATACTGCTGGAGAGGATTGCACTGATTGGCCCTGAGATGAAAAAGAAAAGGGGGTTGGTCTCGCCCTATCCATGCAAAAGTCCAAACGTTGCATGGCATTTTAGTCAACACTGTCAAAGATCGTCACAAATCATGGTGAGTATCGTGCCTCTTGGCGTCAGTTGGAGAACGCAAGGCTTGAGGAGCACCCAATTGCTGCAGGGATGTTGGTTTAATTCGAAAATTGGGGTTGTTCCGGCGACACCATGGCAACCTGCGATTCAAATCAACAAGTAGGATTCTCCTTTCTTGTATCCTTTCTTCCGCTTTGGTTTTCTTTCTCTTCTCTTCTCCGACCGTGTAGTCACGACTCCTTTAACCTGGCATCGGATTTGCATGGAACGACTCGAAATTGAGCGGCACGGAAAGGGCCGGCCCAGGCCATCTCTCAACTACGACAGCCATGACAGTGCGTAGTGGATAGATGAGAGATTGACAGGGGAATCCGAATTTGACACACCTTCGGCCTCTCCGAGCCAGCCACCAATCGGGGAGAAGGGGGATCACCAGGTCCCAAGATGACGACCGCCATGTAAGCCCAGAAAAGCAAAAACGCCATGCCTGATGATGGCATTCTTTTCAAGGTCGGAAACTTGATTCTCCTCCTCATTTGTATGATTGGAGGACATTGAAAAGCGATTACAACCATAGGCTGATTCATAGGAGATCAGTCGGTCGGTAATGACAATACGGGTGTCGTAAGAAACCCATACGCGCTGGTCACCGTTCGTAATGACAATACGGCCAGGCATGGAGGTCGTCTATCGCAGGGCCCATGCGGTAGAGGAGCTGGCGCATCCACCAGTAGCGGATCAAGTGACCGATGCAATATGCGAGCAATGCAACTCCATTACTCCACTGTATCCTTCATCCCGCTGGGGCCCTCAAGTCTTGAAACGCTCTGCCGATGAAGGAGACGCCAACGTAGATCATGGTTCGAAGATCGAATGGCACAGCTTCTCCACAGTCTATAGTCCACACCCACTCTGCTAGAGCCCAAAAATCGTAATGGAACGGCTCGTGACTGAATATCTCGCCCTCATAGCTGCTGGATGATGAACGGCACATGGGGAAGAGTGGGAGGTATGTAAAAGCTAACGAGATTGCGTTACTCACCTGTCAACGACACTGCCGGCCTCGCCAAACTTGCCCGGTCCCGCCAAAGACAAATATTGGAAAAGCGAGAGAAATCCTGCCAGCCATGGCATTCTCCGAGGAATATCCAGCATTTGCGAAACCATACTATAGATCCGATAATTGAGAATAGGGCGCTTCGTCGATATGCCGCTCATGGGAGCCAATTTCTCACTCTCGAAATTTCCTGGCGTTGTAGCAGCTGACGAAACATGCGCTTTGGCATTTGTCATCACGCGAAAGAGTCCCATCACGATGAATTGAAGAGCAATATAGGTTAGATACAGATATTGCAGGATATTCCAGAGCCATGCTGGTCCAAAAGAGTGAATCTGAGAAGACGAGTGGTCGAGCTTGGAAGCTTCATTGATATCGAGCAGGCCGAACTTGTGTAGGCGATCTTGCTGGTGATTGTCTGCCGTGTCTTCCTCACGTTCATCACGTCGTTCTGCAGTCGACAGGAGCTTGGTGGTAGTCTCCCACAAGAACCATCCTTGACACATCTTTCCGCTGACTGCGTTCCCAAGTATTAAATCTGCTAGTATGTCACCGATAATGGTCCGTAGAGGTACATTTTCCAAATCCTCCGTCGGGAGGAGGACAGCCAACATCCCATGGACCAGCAATTGCCGGTATATTGCCTCGCTCTCGCGTTGCTTCGCAATAGTCTGCATATCAGAGGGATTCGGAATTGGTGAAAGACTCGGATGTGGATGTAAGGCATGGTACGTCTCGCGAACAGAGGGAGAGAGTCCGGATAGTGTGCTTTCATCGCGGGCCAGCCTGTACGCTAGAAAGTAATTTCGCGCGTGAGTATAGATGACCGGCCAGCTGCCATAGGGAGATAATAAATTTCTCACAGATTATATGCGCCTCTATCAGACCAGGAATCTCATCCAAGATCAACTGTGCAATGTCAGTTTCACGCAACCTCTGCTCAAGAGCACGAGTACAGTGCGCGATCACTTGAATGACTTCCTTGACAAGGTTCTGATCCGATGTGATTTTCGAATACCATGAGAAGACGAATTCCTTGATGATTACGGCGATCAAAGCATACAGTTGAAGATCAACTTCATTTGAACTCGTCAAAGGAGGTAACAGTTCTTCCAATGGTTGTGGGGTTGAAGCACCTCCGCTTTGATTGCCCGCCTGCGGACAAAGAACGCGTCTTATCAATGCAACAGTTGCCTTGTCACTGGTCGCGCTAACTGGCTCATCGCGACTGACATTCTTTGATGATCGAGTTCGGCGTCGAAGTTGAGGAGGTGCCTGCAAAACGGACGAGTCTTTGAACGCGACTGGCTTGGAGCTAGAAGTAGTAGGCACGGCCTTGAGATGTGAAAGCGGAGTAAGACCCGGCTGAACAGATTCGCTGGTCATTTCATTCCAGTAATAACATGAGAAGGGCGAAATCACATTCAAGATCTTATGGAGAGGTATAGCAGGGTAGAATTAAAAAGGTACTTTCAGCCTCAGATCGAGACTGTCACCACCAGTGATGTTGACAATCCGACGATGAACAGCCATGCAGGTAGAAGTGTAGAGGCTTCTCAGCTCCAATCACAATGACGCGCAGCTCCACATTCTGCTTCCCCAATATGGAAGTAGGGTTCAGGGCTATGAGATTGGCGGGTGATTGGGCTCCCGATAAGACAACAAAGCCCCCTTTATCTGCGGTTCCCCGCACCTTATCAAGGCATAGCATCAAGGCATTCGCATTTCGCAGTCAACAAAAACTACGTGGATTTTTGAGACAAGCAAAGTCTCCTGACCATTCTGCATTGTCCTTGCGAATTTCAAGAATGGCACCCTCCCTTGATAGTCCAATTCCCTTATGGTTGGATTGTGATCCTGGTCCGTAATCTTCATCTATACTTGCCATGGCCACATCGTTGCTGACCAGTTGACCCCAGGACACGATGTAAGTGCTGAACGCTGAAACGCGACATTCCTATAGGTTGCATGAGCAATTCTGGCTAATGATGAAATGTGGCAGGATGCATTCGCGATTCTGCTCGCTGCGCATCACCCGTCCTTGTATCTCTTAGGAATTACAACAGTCCACGGCAACTCCTCTCTCGAGAATACGACGACTAACGCTCTAAGAGTCCTCGAAGCTATCGGTCGTCCAGATGTTCCTGTCTATGCCGGCAGCAGGAAGCCTTTTTGCCGGCCTGCAGTTCACGCTCCAGACATTCATGGTACGGTCCACGACCCCTCCCCTTCTGTACTTGCGCCAGTAGTAATACGATTGCTGCAACGGGATACTAAGGGTTGACGTCGTAATGTAATACAGGCGACTCCGGACTCGATGGAACTGATTTGTTGCCGAAAGCAACTAGGCTTCCTGTGATAGACACAAACCCTATTGTCGCAATGCGTGATGCTCTCATGGCACAGCCAAAGGGAACGGCTTGGGTTATCGCAACCGGCGCCTTGACCAACGTTGGCTTGCTCTTCGCAACATTTCCCGAAGTAGCGGCTCATATTCAGGGTCTTAGCATCATGGGCGGTGCTATTGGAGGAGGCTTCACAGATGCTCCCTTGAGCCGACTATCGGGGGAACATGAAAGAATTGGCAATACGACACCCTGGGCAGAGTTCAATATTTACGTGAGTATATCCGTATCGTGTGTGATTTCCGGGTAATTTATAACATCGTGTTCGGTCAACAGTGTGATCCTGAGGCCTCCAAGTCTATTTTCAGCAATCCTACCCTGGCACCGAAGACAACAATGATCGGGTTGGATTTGACTCACCAAGTTCTTGCTTCTCGCAGTGTGCAAAACCGCATTCTCCATGGATCCATTGATCCGACCCAAACGCCCTCGGTCCTCAGGAGAATGATGCACGCCCTGCTTGTCTTCTTTGCTCAGACCTACGACACCGTCTTCGGCTTGTCGTCCGGCCCTCCGCTTCACGATCCGCTCGCGGTGGCCGTCGCTATCTCAAACCTTAACCCGACCTTTGCGAAAAAGCATCCCGACAAGGCCTTGAAGTTCAATGACAAGAATGGTGAGCGGTTTGCTGTCGACGTGGTCACCGATGGCATCCATTCCATGAACGTGTTGGAGACTGGTCAGCTAGGCCGTACACTAGCTACTCCAATGGGCGGACACGGAGTAGCTATCCCCAGAGGAGTAGACCTGGAGGCCTTTTGGGGTTTGATCTTGGATTGCCTTGAGCGCGCCGATGAATGCAACGCTGCGCGAAAGTCATGATGATGTACGAGTTGCGCAATACTAACCTTTGTCTTTAGAACATGAGAAAGGTATATAGACCCCCTGGCAAGTATTAGACTAATGGTGATAGAGGATTTTTATTTGAGTACGGGGATTTGCCGTGCGAAGTTCTCCCGTGCTGATGACAAGAAGGCTACAATATTCTCGCTTGCATCGGCTCACATCATGTATTTGTCATTTCCATTAGTCTATAATTCGACGTACCGCTATTCAAAATAAGGCGAATGAACCGCATCCATCTTCAACCAATACGTGCATCCATGCATGCACTCCGATCACCATTCACGAATACCGCCATCGGGACCGAAGAACTCCTTGCACAGCCAGGGTTCCGACTTCAGAGCGACTTGCCGAACAATCTCCTCGTCGACCTCAATGCCCAGCCCCGGAGCCGTCAGGGCATCAACATAACCATCTTTCACCTCGAAGACACTAGGATCCTTCACGTAGCTTGTGATGTCATACTCGCCAGCCTCCGTGTTGTAGTGGATCCCCAGACTCATCTCCTGGATCACAAAGTTGGGCGTAGCGAGATCAACCTGCATACACGCTGCCAAAGCAATCGGACCTAGCGGACAATGAGGCGCAATGGCAACATCATACGTCTCCGCCATGGAGGCAATGCGCCGCAGCTCCGAGATCCCACCACAATGGCTGATATCCGGCTGAAGAATGTCGACGCTCGCGTCCTCGAGGAACCGCTTCACGTCCCAACGGTTGTAGAGCCGCTCGCCTAGCGCGATGGGGCACGAGACCTGATTCGCGAGCTGCTTGATGCCCTCCGGATGCTCGGAGAGGAGAGGTTCCTCCAGGAACAGCGGCCGGTGAGGTTCGAGGGCCTTGGCGAGCTGTTTCGCCATGGGCTTGTGCAGTCGGCCGTGGAAGTCGAGGGCGGCGTCGAGGCCGAGCGCCTTGACAGCCTTGAGGCGCTCGACGCATGAGTCGAGCACACTGGGCGAATCCAGCCAGTTGATGTCTTCTGTAGCGTTCATCTTGATCGCTTTGAACCCCTGCGCTAGCCGTGCTTTGCCCGCGGCTTCGACATCGCCTGGACGGTCTCCGCCGATCCAGGCGTAGACGGAGAGCTTGTTCCTGACTTTGCCTCCAAGGAGCTGATGGACAGGGACGCCTAGCCGGCGGCCCTTGAGATCCCAGAGCGCAATGTCAATGCCGGAGATGGCGGACATGAAGACCGGCCCTCCGCGGTAGAATCCGAGTCGCCAGGCCATTTGCCAGATGTGTTCGATATCACTGCAGCCAGCAAAGGCAACCGGTCAGTAGATGGGGCTGTGACGGACAGTAATTTGTGCACGTACTCTGCTTCGTAGCCCTGAAATCTTTTGCACAATGCATTAAGCGTCCCTTCCACGGCTTCGGTATGGCCTTCAAGCGTACTCTCACCCCAGCCATATTGGCCCTCTTCGTCAACAATCTTGACAAACAGCCATCTGGGAAGGACACGGAAATATTCAATGCTCTTAATCTTGACCATGGTGTCGACTTCGGCAGGGAATTGCGGGGAGAGATTGGGATAAGGAGCTTCTCGTCTCGATGATCAGACGAAGATGCGGCCTTGCTGGAAGACAAAATCAAAACGGACAGAAGTAGATACAAATGTCCGATCATCTGTAGCGAGAAAATTCAATAATGTAATAGAGCTTCATACGACCATTACCCCCCATTCCCCTCTGGACGTGGGGGTGGGGGATCAAGCATGTCGGAGTTCCTCCGCACTTGGATACCGATTGCCGACCGTGGGATGATTATATAGGAGCCCTTGGCAGCTGTTTCAGAAGCCAACCCATTATGAAATCAAGATGGAAGGATTTGGGGGCAAACCTGTTGTAAGGAACCGAAATCCATGCAGCGAAGGGGCCTGGATGCACGAGTAACCGTCGGAAAAATTACCCATCTCGCATGGCATCCCTTTCACTTTCCGATGAATAAGGCCACTTGACGCAAGTATATCATCCTTTACAGACCCATGTCTCCAAGGAAAGAAAATATGTTGTGCAGAGAGGCTGATTATCAATAATATTAATTTGCTTGGTAGTCCTGGACACTGTGGTTCAGTTCATGCCAGCAGATTATATCCCCATACTAGCAATTCTGCAGACAGTCACCAAGCACTGGGGACCGCATACAAAGGCCACGATTTAGACATGCCTAGGAGATTCAAGTGTTAGAGCTTTGTAATTGTGCCTCGAAGAAGACCCAGTAGCCATCAGTAAAGTCGATCATCGATGGATGGTCGTAGAATAATCTCTGGAATCGATAATTTCTATGGGCCACTACTTTGTTACCTACAAACCAGCAACAGCGTCAACAACCAGGTTACTGGCATCAATCATCCAATCAGCCATTCCTGACATATTTCGTCATTCCAATTTGGATCATCTGAATTCTTCACCTCCAAGAGTACCCGACTGCTGATCGCTACTTGGAGTCATGATGGAAACCGTCGGCTGAGGGGAAATCCGAAAAGGGAAAATGAGGCAAAATACGGAGATTTCCTGATCGCCTTCACATCAGTCCCATTCATTCGTTCCTCTATCTCTCGATCCCCTCGTCATCCAGCGTCCATTTATTCATCGTGCTCTATCACTATCTCGAAGCGCCTCTTTCCTCACTCTGAACTCCCAATTATTCCAACTATAAAGAGAGGCTCGCATGCCTCGTTTACCTCATCGTCCTTCCAATCGTCCTCGTCTTCCGTGTCCCTGTGCCAGTCTCCGTGCGCAATCCATAGGTCAACGGCGGGTTTGTCAACCTCCGCAGGGCTGATCTAGAGGACCATGCCCCCAGAAAATACTCCCTCGGTAAGTGCCTGCGTTTGTCCGTAACTCTATCAAGGGTCCATATCCTGTTCCTCCTGCGTATGACATCTTGCGCCCGGTCATCAACTCTACTATACTGCATGTGGCACGATTCCATGTCCTGGCCTTCGTTCCTGGGCCGCTTCACTTAGTTTGACCTTTTGTGTCTTCGTTTCGTCACCTGTGCTCATCGATTTGCGTTCTCGGACAGCAAGGAATCTCTGCTCAATCTCCTCCGCTGGTATTCGCATCGTCCCTTCAACAGCTGAGCACTGTCTCAACCCCTGTCCCCACTCTCCCAGCGGCCGCCTCGCATGACGCTCATGATGACAACGTGATCTTCCTTCGATCTCGAGTTCGTTCTCCTCACGGCTCTTCCTCCTCAAGTCGACAACGTCGCCGACGGCATCAAATACTTTCCGAGTTTGAGTCTGATCCGATGGAGTTGGACGAGTCGACTGGAGTGCGTATGTCCGTGGAAATCAGTCGCCATCCCATAGTGCGTCGGACACGAGAGGAACCGACGAATATGCCGAACTATGAAGGTCGTGTCTCCAACATACGGTCGCTGTACGGCTGGGCCCCAGGCTCCGACGAGGATGACGAGGACGATTTGGTTTACGAACCTCTGCAGGATCCCAACAGTATCTCCTCTTGGTTTGGCAGACTCTCGGATCGAAATACGACGTCGAGGCGCCACATACGACGTGATGCCACCGCACGAAGCCCCCTTCCGCTCCCCGTTGAGCCTTTAGAGAGTAGCAGACACCGGATGGACGACTCAACTGTCGCGACGGCGGAAGCTCTGCTGCAGTCGGTCAGACGCCAGCCGCGCCTCTCGAGGACGCGGACATTACACAACTATCTATTGGACCGGGAGCGCACCAGTCAGGATTCGGAAGATGGCAGGGAACGAGCGACTCAGTCACCGACTTCACGCGCATATCGGTTCATACCCACTAGTCGAGGTGAATCCAACCAGATCTCAACGCACGGCGATATGCGCGCTCGTGTCAACGCTCATCGGCAGCTGCATATGGATCATCCTCCCAGTCCGCGCTTGAAGGAAATTATCAGATATCTCGACCGTTTGCGCTATTCGACCTCCTTTGAAGAAAGTCTTTCATCGGCTGCCGCAGGTGGATTTGTTCAGCTCGATTTCTCCTGGGATGAGGATGATTTCATCCTGGATACTACATTAATTGCACCGCCACCTCCATGTTCCTGGCTACGTCCGGGTATGGTTTTTAAAGGCTCGCAGATGGCCGCATGCACTCCCACCTCGATTTTCGCGCACCGTGGGCCAACCTCCCATCCGGCTACCGAACCGGTGATTGTCAATGGCAGTGATAATGGCCGCATCAGTGTTTACACGACAACCGGTCGGCGGTATCTGGCTAACAATAATATCCACAACTTTGGAACAGGGAAGGATGAGAATTGGCCGGTCAAAGTCACCATTCACAATATCAACTACCAAGAGATGACACTTTCAGGTACAATGGAAGCCTACAATATTCCTGATAAGACGTCGCCATCTCATGATGCACATATCGTCACCTTTCTGGAGGGGGAAATTATAGACTTCAACACTCACACTCTTGAGACGAAAAATTTCAAAGCCGACGCTGAAACTGACAGTACCTACTGGCGCGAGCTGCAACCGTTTAAGAACTTGACGGACGACGAGATGACAAGGAACCTTGTGAGTCGAAAATGGATTACCGAAGAGCTATCCAAACGGTGGATCTTGATGCGATGGAAAGGTGTGTATTGATTGATCTTTCACCACTTCTCTAATCTGTTCGTGGTTTGTGCTAATGACAGTGCAGAACGCTGTTTCATCACCCCCACCGACGCACGCCAGGGCCTCACAATCTCAGGATTCTACTATATCTCTCTTCGTCGAGATACTGGGCACATTGAAGGACTCTACTACGACCCGGGAAGCTCACCGTATCAGCAGCTGTCACTGAAACCAGAGACGGAGAAGATGATCCGTCCTTCCTACAACTTCAGGTAATCTTGGGTCTGGTGTGCCCCAGAGGCATCTTGCTCCCAACATCCCCTTCTGACAGGCTCTACTTTCTCTTTGGCACTGTCCATTGGCATTGGGTGATTGTATTTTGGTTTCGCATAGCTCTGGAGTTTTCGCATTGCTCTATCTTCGATTTGGGGGGCATTTTAGGGTGCGAGTACATACATCTAGCCGTTAAGGAGACTTTCCGATACTGGTTTGGCCCGGAACGAGTTTGCAAGTCTGGTGCCATTATTGACAGTTACTTGATGTATCTGAATGGACATAGAAGCAGCACATCTACGATTTTAAGCCTACATCTGATACTTAAGATTCAAGTAGCACTCCTTGATCATGAATATTCTTCATTCCATTAGTCCGTTGGCCTTAGATAAATGTGAATCCGAAGTGAATGGATCACGTATCGAGGACGGGGAAGAAGAGCCCAAGCCCCAGGCCAATTGGTCACGTAACCAGAAGCTCCTCTTCCCCTCAAAACCACCCCATTTCAGTGCCCATCACACATCACATCCAATCCGCTAAAGCACATCGCAACGGCAGTGCATTTACTGCTCAGTCTGGAAGTAGTTGAGGAGGACGGAGCGCTCCTGGGACTCCTCACCCCAGTCCTTGACGACAACGCAAGAGCAGTTGACAACCTTGCGGGCGTTACCCTCACGGTCAAGCTGGCCTATTCACACAACCAATCATTAGCCCCCAGCCCCAACTTCCGCAAGTCACCACAAAAAGGGGAAATGGAACAGGGTTATACATACAGAGACCGACCCACTCGCCGAGCATCTTTCCATCGGGGACCTTGATGAGGGGGATCTTGTGCTCGGAGCACAGAGCAATGACGAGCTTCTTGTAGGCCTCCTCCTCGCAGCCCTCGTTGAGAACACACATGTGGGCCTGGCGGCGGTCGAGGGCCTTGGCGGCCTCGCGGAGACCACGGGCAAGACCGTCGTGGATCAGAGCAATGCGGAGGACACCCTTCAGAGCATCGAGGACGGACATCTGGCCGCCAGCGCCGGCATCAGCGGAAACCTCGACCTCATCGGCGGCGGCAACGGGGGGGTTGGACATGGTCTCTTCTCCGTCCGACTGTTAAAACGTAACGGTCATGGTTAGCTTTTGTCTTCTTGGGTGGGTTCGATGCGATATGCGCAGGAGTCGAATAGCGAAGGACATCATGAGAGCGGAGATTCGCATTGGTTCTTGGTTGCAGCGTTGCCGATAGAGCATTATGATATACTCGTCGGTGCGGGCCAAGTTTCCCCTCGCTCGGTATGGCTTCACTTTCGTGTCTGGAATGCAAGGAAGTGTCACTTCTGGTTCAGCTGATACGTACCATTTTGACTGGTGTTTTTTCTGACGTTTGATATCAAATGTCGGATTATCCTCAAAGAGTTCGTGGAGATGATCAGTTGGACTGTTGTTTGAGTGTGTGCGGGCGGTAAAAATTTGGTGATCATTCGCCTATTTTCTGGATTGTGCCCTACCGCCTAGCGCTTATACCATTTCTTCAGTCACGTGGCTCATATTCATGGATTTATGCAGTTAGCCCATGAGTAAGCAAACCCAACACTACTCCATAGTTTTTACAGGGAAATGTAGACGTAGCATTGAGCGATAAATTCGCTTCATTGACTCTCTTATCCAAGGGTCCGTTATCCGAACAAACGAGACATCACACATCACATCTCACATCACGTCAATAGTAAGAGGTATCATAGTCATACAACCGAGGAAACAAGCCATCTGTACATGTAAGGCTATGCTCGATGATCGCCGCGACAAGAGGAAAGAAAAGTACTAGGCACTAAACGTATGTACTTGGCCGTGAATGGCCATATCCGTTGGTAAGCCCGGGTATCCCAGCAGGAAAGCCGTGAATATTATCAAGATGGGCATATTCGGGCCCGTGCCCGTTGGGCTGCGCTGATTCAAGGAGAGGTGCAGCTGTAGAAGGCTCCTGATCAATGTGCATCCTCAGGAATTGAATGTCAAGACCATGAAGATGCGGAACATGCGGGACGAGGTCCATGAAGTCCGAAAGCTGATTACCATGAATGTCAGTGGATGAATCGATTTAGAAACATAATGAAAGTCGGTCGCAAGGGGAGATGCTTACTCTAATCCAAAATACATGTTCCATGTCAAAGTATTTTGGCCGTGTTTCGCAATCCTTCTGCATAATCTGCCCAAATGAGGAGCTCATGAAGTCCTTATCATCTCCCTGAACCAGCACCCGACGGGTGACGCGCCACAGATTCTCCCGCTGAGTGGGAGTAGCGTTACGCTTCTCCCAACTTGTGTACTGGGACAGCTGGAGATCGTTGGTCGCTAATAAAGGTGCCACCAGGTAGTTTGGAACCCATCTCTCGTCCGCGACGCTGGTATCACATGAAGGATCTAGTTGCTTTGTGAATGCAGTAACAACAGGCATGAACCTCTTCAGCCAGGCATGGCTCCGCGCTCGTGGGTCATTAGAGCCGACGAGGTGGGCAGCAACTCGAAGCCGACTAGGGAGTGCAGCCCGGCGCCGCTGCTCCTGCTCTTCCTGCTCCCTCCGCAATTTCGCGAGGCGCAGTCTTTCTTGTTCTAGTCTCTTCTGAAGCTCATCCTCGGCTTGCTTGATCCGCCTCTGCTCAGCCTCTTTCCGTTTGCGCTCTTCTTCCTCGGCCTTTTCTCGCGCAAGACGGGCAGCTCGTTCTTCCTCTTCCTTTGCCAAGCGAGCCTTTTCCGCTTCAGCTGCGAGACGCTCTTCTTCCGCGATACGCTCCGTTTCGGCCCGTCTCGCCTCTTCTTGGCGCCGTTCTTCAGACTCGGACCTCTTAGCCACACTCGTCGCATCTTCCATGGGGATGTCAGCCAGGTGGCCTACATCCTGCCTTTCTCGCTCTTTCTTCACAGCTCTCGAGTCGGTAGCCATGTGCGGTGTACTATCAATTTGCTGATCACGCTCGCGCTCCAACAATTGATCTTCGGTTTTCTTCGGGCGAACATGTGTTTGAGACTCCTCTGCTATGCCGATGCTGTGACTTTTCTTCAATCCACCATTGGTCATGCTTGCCGCCCTGTCTTCGGATAGAACACGTCGTTTCTTTTTCTGGCCTTCGCGCGAGTGATGGTCAGAATCTGGACCACGAGAACGGGGGCGTTCGGGGCTTGCGCTACTGCGTCCGCGTTTCAAGGCCAGAGGGCCATTCGGAACCGTTGTAGTTTCGGTAGAAGGATCCACACGGGATTTTATAGAGTCCTCACGGCCGGACAGGGAATCTGAAGACGGTATGCTGGGTCTTCTGCGATCGCGATCCTGTGGAGGGCGCCCTGCAATCAAACGCCTTCTCCTGGGAACTTCCTCATCTTTGGCGAATGCTCCTAATGATTTGGACTGAGCAGACTCCAACCGAAACACATCGGCTTCCGCCGGATTGTCACTACCCTTGTGAGCTATCTTGGGCCGATTTGTGCTGGATCCTGATCTCTCCTTTAAGTGAGCGACACCATCTCGTTTCTTTTCCTTCGATGTAACGGCATCTTTGGAAGAGAGCTCTCGGTGATGGCCGGCGCTCGGACTTGGTACGGCCTTCCTGGAAGAAACCGCCGGGGATGGGGAATGTCTGCGACCCGGCCGCTTGTTTTCCTTCTCCCTGTCGCGCGGTCGTTTAGGTGAAGAAGCCTCCTGCTTGCGCAGACGCTTGGCTCTAACGTAATTATCATAGGCCTCTCTCAGCAAGTCATATTCCTCCTCCCAGTTGTCAGCTCTCCGTTCTCGGGATAACTCAAAGTAGGTACGATCACGGTAAAGCCGGCGCGTTGGATTGAATCTTGGCTGATCCAGCAGCAAGCGTATGACAGCAAGATTACCTCGGCCGATCGCCGCAAGCATGGGTGTATTGTAGCCAGGTTTCTGATTTCCTCCTTGAAGTGGCTCAGGATCGGGATCTGCGTCGCCCATCCCAAGTAACAGAGACAGTACCTCATCATGACCACCCTTGGCTGCAGCTATCATCGACTCAGAGTCGGCTTTTTGCCCAACGTTGAGAATGTTGGCAACTCCCGCAATATCACCTTTCGCAGCAAATGCTTGCAGGTTCTCGGGTGTAGCTTTGGTCCAGAGTAGGTCGTTTCGGGTAGCTTCACTTCGCACGGTCTTTCGCCTCGTAGTGGCCCCGAATAGAGGGGGGCTACGGGGTCCATTCACCGGGGGGGACTCGCGCGGGCTTGCAGCAGCAACTCTTTTAGAGCTTATTTCCTTATTTCCGGAACCAGCACGCTCTTCGGAACGACGACCCGGCCGGGGATTGGCTTTAGCCTCTGCAAGTACACGGCGGATTTCCGCATAGTCTTCCGAGTCAGATGGGACCAAATCATACGGCTCATCACCTTCCGCGTTGACCGTGCGAGGATTTGCGCCCGCCTCCAGTAAGAGTTTGACGACTTCCAAGTGGCCATTTTCGACGGCATCAATCAAAGGAGTGTCTTTGTCAATATTCTTTGTGTCAATGTCACAACCAGCTTCAAGAAGGAATTTCACAATCGGCGCACACCCTTCGAGAGCAGCAATTTGGAGGGGCGTATTTCCCGCATTGTCGGCCACATTCAGATCTTCTGGGCGCTCTGCATGCCTCGCCATTGCTGCCTCCAGTTCCTGAGCTGCACAGGCACGTGCTAGGCGTGTCCGACCGTTCTGGTCGCGCTGTTTCTTGTGACCTGTTGGCCTAGCAGGAGATGCTGAAGCGCCGTCGACACTGGCTAGTTTCCGCAGTTGAGAACTGGGTAGAGGAGAGCCACTGGTTGAAGACGAAACTGACAGCCTGTCCTCGGAGCCTTGCCGTTGAAATCCAGTGATGAGTGGAGTAGCAGTCTTCCTTTTCTTTTGCAAGTCACTGGACCCAAGCTGCGGACCGGAAGCAGTTCTCTTGTGAGCCGACCGAATAGGCGAGACAGAGCGATCGATCAACTCTGGTGGAGGTAGACTGATGCCATTGATGTGCCTTTGCTCTTTGTCGCGGGAGGCCGTCGAGTGACGACTAAATTGAGCCCTGTCCCTCTCGCTGTCGACACTTTCGCTATGGCTACGCTTTCGTGAGATCTGGACGTTCTGACAACCGGGGATAGTCTCCGTGCTATGTGAAGACAGAGAGGAATCAAGATTAATTAGGGCGGGCTGTACTTCCTCTGGCCTCTCGATTTTCACGCGTGATGGGGAAACAGCTGTTCGAGAATGAAGTCCCGGGGAGAACCCACGGTCGCGTTCCGCGATGGATCGATCGATCGATCGCTTTCTGTTCCTAATGCGGGAGTCATCAGGTAGTGAACTGTCCTCCACTGCGTCACCGTTGTCAACTTGAACATCGTTTCGCCTTGGCTCATGTTGAATATACTTCCGTCTCTTTTCTGGCGACAGAGACTCGCGGCCCGACTGGATGATAGTTTCTGCTTCCGAGTCAGCCTTGGGGCTCGGCGGGCCATCCCCATCTCCTGAAGCAGAATCAACCTCCTTGACGCGAGTATCCTCTCCTCTGCGATGGGGCGACGGAGAGACCCTCTTGGAAGACAGCGAACCAGAAGCAGACCGGGGGTTCACGGTGACAGCAGTAGCATTTTGTCCGGCATGCAGGGCAGCTGGCAGGGAGGACACTGCTCCAACATCACTCATAGCGGTAGTAATCGATTGCTGGGTGTTTCGATCGTCATTTTCGGAGGCCGTGGCGGACAGAGAGCACTCGTAGTCGAAACCACCAGCAGTCGCGCGTGGAAGCTGGTGCTCGACCACGCCTAGCAAAGCGAAGATCCCTATGTTTTGTAATGTTTCACGCGGCCGTTCGATCACCGAACTGGACTGGAAGATATGTATGTGAAGAATTTCTCAGACCCTGGGGAGGAGAGTTGCTGTTGAACCAGTAGTGGCGCGGTAGCTCAAGGGAAGGGGAATATGGCGCTTTCGGAGTTATGTCAAGCTTTCTGAGATGAAGTGAAGATAAAATCGTTAAATGTAGATAAAGAAGAGAAGAGGTGAAGAGACAGATGAGATTGGCAAACGTGTCAGTGAGACGAGGACGAGGATGAAGATTGGAGGGTAGAGAGGAGGAATTAGTGGAGATTAAAGGAAGAGAGGGAAGCAGAGGGAGGAAAAGGAACAAAAGAGGTCCAAGGCAGCGATTCTCTGGGTTAGTGAGTTTTAGCGGGAAACGAGGACAAGAGACTGGGAGTAGGTAAAGTAGAGAGGTCTCAAAATCGCGGGACTCCGGACTAGTCAGATTATTGATAATGGTGACTAGTTGTCTACTCCGCTCTCCGTACCTATGGTGGTAGTACCTAGTAGATAAACTAACTGATACTTATGTAGCTAGTGGCAGATAATTTAGGTATAGTAGTGGGCTGCTTGGATAGGTAAAGGACTGTACAGTGTAGCATCTTGGGGGGTTAAGATGGGTCCTCAGGGATTATTTGGCCACCAGCTGGTTTGGGTTGGGTAGAGGTCACGGGATATTTTACCTTAGTCCCTATCGTATGACGTTGGTAAAAATACCCAAATTACAGTAATTTTACAATGGAATCACCCTTATCGAATTCACCTTCTTTGATAATTACTTGACAGAAGCCGGTGGTATCGAATGAAATGTCAAGTTGATCATCACAATCCAGGTTGCTAGCTATTTTTATTATTGAACGCTGTATGCATGAGACTCGTCCATCTGTAACAGCCTTCTCCGTACCTCCCGAAAGTAGGTACTAGCTGGATATTCCTGAAACAGCAGTACTCCGCAGCGTACGTTGCCAAGGCAGGAGATCAACTTGCTTGGAAACAATAATACAGAAGTATCATCCAGAGAATCACAGCTACCTGCCTGAACAGCGGGGTACTCGAGCCGAGACTTTCCTCCATACGTCAGACTCCGAGGATGTCGGTGGAAAGAGCTTGCTATCTAGATACTCAGCACAGAGAGATAGAGTGTCTCATAAACATGGATCCAAACCGATCGTGAGTAAGAGACTGCCAGGGAGTCATCTTTCGAGCTGCGGAGTACGTAAATTAGGCCCTGCATCACGCCAATGACTGACGAGATGGCAACTGAACCTTTACTGTTTCCGGCTTAGTAGTGGCAGGATCAACTCAACGAGTCTGATTAGGCCCACTTAAAGACAAGTGATCTGCTCCTGTATAACCAATCACCAGACAGAATCTTTCAGCTTATCGCCCCACTTTGCCCCTTCCGCTAGCCGTTACTGGTTTGCAAAGTTGCAACTTGCTGCAAATGGCGAGAGGCGGAGAGGAGGCAAAGTCTGACGAAAGGTGTCTTGATTCTCAAAACTCTGATAAAATGAAGGTGTCATCTCTCGTCGTCGATTAGACATACCGCGATGCTCTGTTCTTACGATAAGATTGAGCTGAAGGATTTGCCTAGACTTTCTTTCAAGTAAGCCAGTCGTAGAAACTCTTCATCCACTCTCTGCCAATGTATGACCTAGCTCTCATAGCTGGCGGAGCTCCAAGGCAATCGAAGCCCAGGTTCAATCTGCCTCGTAACTACCTAAATTGTAGCTGCACTCTGTGTGGGGTTTCAAGTTTCATGGCAATTGGTGACAGTGAGACGGAATCATGGCAACCATTATCACAGGACTTTTACAACAATCTCCGAACTAATTGAAAGCAGCTGTCCCTGGATTTCCGCCTTACCCCTTCTTGCGCCTTTCCAGGCTGTCTGCAGCTTCCAACATTGGCACCGGCTACGCCTGGTCAATCGTATCAAGATGGAGCTTATCTGGAAGCTTGTGGAGACGACGTTTTCCATCATGCACTTGGACGTTGTTGACGCTCTTCGAGCCTTCTTTATCTTTGCAGCCTGCACGGTACGAATATCTCGAGTGTGAGGGACGATGGTTACTTTGGCAGTGATGCATCAGTCTAGGCGAGACTCTTCGATGATGGACTAAACAAAAGCAATAATTACCAGATACTGTCGATCAGCGTGCCAGACACACTTCGCGCCCGCTTCGTGACTTATGGTGCTCGTGCAACGTCAACAACGGTCGGGTCGAGACCCCTTGCTCGTGCCGATGCCCCGGACACATCTCGCGTATACCTCGCACTCGATTACCTTGCCTCTCTGAGAGTCCCTCACAGCTACTTCAAGCACTTTTATGTTGCCTCTGTGCTTTCTTCGCTCTTTTGGGCGTTCCAATTGCTGTTCAGAGGATCTGCGTTTCAGGCCATCGCGACAAGGATAGGCCCACAACACTTGCAGAAGTCGATGTCCATACATCAAGTCTTACTATGCTGGGCATTAATGTTAGTGCAAGGAATTCGGCGACTGCATGAGAGTTGCATCTTTTCCAAACCATCCTCATCCAGGATGTGGTTTGTCCATTGGCTTCTCGGACTCGCCTTTTACCTCGCTGCAACGGTCGCCGTCTGGATTGAGGGAACAGGTATGCGTCTGGGAACTAGATCCAAGAGATTACGCTCTAACAGTCCCCACCCTCCTAGGAACTCTCACAACCCACAAGTTGACTCTCGATGATGTTCAAGTAACCACCGCTCCTACCCTTCGCACGTTCCTCTGCCTTCCATTATTTTTGATCGCCTCAGGTATTCAGCACGATTGTCACCACTACCTCTTCTCGCTTAAGAAGTATACCCTCCCGACTCATCCTATGTTTCGGAGAATCGTCTGTCCCCATTACACGGCCGAGTGCGTGATATACCTATCGTTGGCTCTGTTGGCTGCACCGGATGGCGAGATGGTGAACAAGACGCTTTTGTCATGTTTCGCGTTCGTAACGGTGAATCTGGGTGTAACCGCCGCAATCAGCAAGCGATGGTATGAGCAGAAGTTCGGACCGGACGCTGTCAAAGAAAGATGGAACATGATTCCTGGACTCTTCTAAGCAGATATAGCTTATTCGCTCGTGTTGACACTCGGACCAGAGGACACTAGAGTCCCCGTCTGCAAGATCATCGTGCGCCTAGGAATTTCATCGTATTTCCCAACTTTGACACCTTGAGCACGTCCCGATACGTCAGACTGATGCGAGTCTCCCTCTCATACCAACCACACTGGTAACGATCACGTTCACGCAGCAGATCCCAATTACAGATGGTGTCAGCACTTAGGTTATCGTCCTTGCGGGTCTCTGCAATGCCGTGCAAGAAATCTGTGTAGATACTTCGCCTCGTAACCAGAAGACTGCGCCTCTCCTGCAAGATTCGATACTGGGGCTGCCGAGCGCCACCCACCACATTGTGGTTTCCATCGTTGCTCAAACCGGGCTTCGGATACAGGTCTAGTACAATCGGTGCTCCCAGGCTCACGGTCGCAACCAGGGGATAGTACGCGGCTCCATCTTCATGCGGCATGATTCCTTGGCCGGGACAGTATTCGTTCACCAGGACATGGTTTGGAGCGCCGTGAGGCGCGCCTACGAAGATGCCAAGTGAGTTCAAGCGAGGGTTGATGATAGGCGAGACGAGCCATGAGGGCAACGGCGATGCGATTAGAGTATTTGATGTGGTCAGAGCAGAGGGCCATGTTTGAAGACGTCGATGGGAGAGCTGAGTCCACCGGGGGAGAGGGGCAGTGGTTATCTTCGAACGTTAGCGCTGTCTCATACAGGATATAGGCGTGCAGTTTGTAAGCATGAGTGATTGATGGATCATCACTATCTCTTTGCCAGCGCTACATAGGCCAGAGCGACACTACGGTAGCTACACAATTGTAATAGCAAAACATACCTTCTGCAGCAGCAACTCCTCCTCTTCCTCGGTGATAAAGTCTGCAATGTAGAATGCGTCATCAGACAAGGACTTGATCCGGGCTGCTTCCAGACTGGGTTCCATTGCAGCCTCTCAACCCATTAATGCCTGAAAATAACAACCAGCATCAGTCTCATTGGACCTATCATCGCCCTTCAGTGACAAGTCATAACAACGACAGAAGCTCTGATCAGTGATACTGTGGAGCCATACAAACCAGCTCCGAAAATAGAAAGAGCAGAGCTCATCAGCATACCTCAGTCTTTCAAATCAAATAGTGCAGACGATAAACAGAGAATCGAATGTCGTCATTCAACGTTCGTATGTGGTACATAAACCTGACTCGTAGATCTGTCTGCCTGAGGCAGTAGACCCCACCAAACCCCACCCTCCAACTCTGGCAGTGGCATCAGTCTTCATCTGAGAACCAAGTCGGATTCTGGGCGCAAACCCTAAAGATACTTTTAGCTACAGCCTCCTAGAGAAGTTCAAACTTCAAAGAACTTCTGTTTCTGCTAGATCGATCCCCACACTCGGATCTAAATTTTCTGCTGCGTCGACGTCCCAACAGCGGAGGTCGGAAGCATCGACATCAAGGATGGCCCCTAAGAACAACGCCAAAGGAGGCAACAAGAAAGGCAAGGGGAAAGATGCATCCGATGGGGACAAGGGGAAGGGAGGAGGAAAGGGGTTGAAGCCCGCTACGTCGATTAATGTCAGACATATTCTTGTACGTAAAATCTTTCTCTGGAGTATTGCTTCACACAAATTGCACTTCGCTACAAACCCTATTCCATGTATAATCACCGGCTACTGCTACTTCTAGACTAATGCTCGCAAACGTAGTGCGAGAAATTCTCGAAGAAGGAAGAGGCGCTTGAGAAATTGCGCAACGGGGCCAAATTCGACGATGTTGCGAGGGAGTACTCGGAGGATAAGGCTCGGCAAGGTGCGTTTCCCCTTTTTCTTCGCTTTCCTCGTTCGGACGAGGATAGAAGAAGAAGCGAAAGCTGGTTCGGTGCTGATGACTGTAGGCGGCTCTCTTGGGTGGAAAGTCCGAGGCAGTCTCACCGCGGACTTTGAGAAGGCTGCGTATGAGCTGGAGCCCAGTACGACGGCGAACCCGAAGTATGCGGAGGTGAAGACCGGGTTTGGGTACCATATCATCATGGTTGAAGGGAGGAAGTAGCCTGGTCTCCTATCGCCAATTTACCTTTAGCAGTTAGAGCGTTTTTTCCATATCAATACCTCGAGATGTCTCATCTGGGACGGAATGCAGAATCTCCTGCACAGCAGTAATATAAACGTATCTCTATGATGGAATGAAGATCTACTATGAGTGTATGTATGTACAATAAACGTCGAACAGGTCAAACGGTCTACTCCTTCTTTCCAGCTAATGCCTTCGCCCGTTCTTTAGCTTGCTTCTCCCGCTTCTGCACCGCGGCTTCAGCCCCAATGCCGCCGAATACAAGGCCGATGCCGAGCCACTGGCCTGCAGACAACGAGTGTCCAAACCAGAACACGCTCAACAGCATAGTGAGCATCTTGCGCGTAACGGTCACAGTCACCAGAAGCAAAGACGAGAAGCGAGAAAGCGTATAGAAAATAAAAAGCTGGCCGATGGCTCCGCAGGCGGCAAAGCCGAGCACGTTCTTCATCACCTCTGGGTGTCGAGAGAGGAAGGAAATGGCGGATGCAAGCTCGGTCTCCGTAGAAGGCGGAATGGGGATGGGTAGGAGAGCATGCAAGACGCCGGCAGAGGACAGATGGGGCATGACAAGCAAGTATGTGGTGGTCAGGACCGTCGAAAGGACGTTCTGCGCTACCATCATCTGCGGTCCGGTGAAGCGGGTGTAAATTTGCGGAGAGCTAAAGACATGGTCTTGGGTTGTGTTCGTGAGGCCGTCCAGAAGGAGGTTGATGGAAAGCAGGAAGATTCCATACAGAGATGAGCCAGACTGGTTCTTCGCTGCCGACGCGGCGACCTTCTTGCTGGTTCCAGGGTGGTGGAGGGTGAAAGTTGCGACTCCAAGGGTAACCAGCAAGACAACGCCGTACTTATACAAAGGATATCTCTTGCGGAAGATAGTCAAATGGAGGAACATCACAGGCAGAAGCTTGCATGATTTGGCGAGAATAAAGGTCAAATAGTCGATGTGCGCAAGACTGGCATATCCAAAGGGCGAGGCCAGCGAGGAGGAGATGCTAACCAAGATTAAAGGGAAAAGAATCTTGCGAGTCGGGAAAATGGACGGGACCTTCTTGCCCGCCGGAGTAGAGAAATAGAGGTAGAGAAATCCGGTAATCGCAGCAAAGGTGGATTGTATAGTGTTGAGAACGATCGAGAAGGTGAAGCGCTCCGTCGGCGGGTTTGGTTCTTCAGCAGTTGGAGGACGGACTGGGAAGTTGACCGTGGTAATCGCCTCTTGAAGGACACCCCATGACAGACTTCAAAAGCATTAGGCACTGTATGTGGAGAGGGTAATGATGTGCTGGAGATAAATCACTTACAATGACGCATAAATGCCCAGAACACAAATCGCAAGTTGCATCAGCCCCGGAGTCTCCAGGGGAGCTTCAGGCGCTTGTCCTTTTGTCGAGGCAGATCCATTCAGGGTGACAGGCTTCCGAGTGCTGCCATTCTGTTGCGTAGACCTTGACTCAGATTCTTCAGGCACCAGATGCATCAATTCAGAAGAAGTGGCCCGTTGTAAAGGCACTGCCTGTTTTTGGCGTGCCATGAGCGCAATTTAGATATGTGTAAAGAATGACGGAATGGGAAGATGAATGAAAGACAATGAATCATGCGAGAGAGAGGTCAAGACCAGTAACACCTCTGCCTGGAATAAGACAAGAAGACATAAAAGGGGTTGATGGACAAAAAAGGAAATAGAATATCACAGGAAAGATCACACTCTCATTTCTAACAGACAGGCCGTTGATGCCATGTGTTCTGTTCTTCTTTTGCCAAAAACGCGCTGCGCGGAATTTCGGCGCGGTCGCCCTAAATTTTTCCCTCTCCGCCTGCAAGAACTCACATTGCTATCCTCCAGCCTCGCAGGTAAAGCGATAATGATCAATTTTTACATTGAGTATCATTGAGGTATGACCATATTGTATCTAAGAGGATAGATACGGTGTTGAGAGTAAGCAATGACCATCAGTTGTCCATCTGCATATGGAATACCGTTGCTATCTAAACCTTCGAAGCCTCCCCAGACTAATAGAAGAGTCGTATTTAGAATTAAAACCGCCAGTCTCTGCTACAACGCCCACCCAAGAAAGCTTCCAGCAACTCACTATGCCAACTGTACTCACATCAACACCCCAGGCTCCAAAGCCTTCGGCCCTCACCACCCTCTTAACCTCTACCTCCGCCTCCTTGAACCCTCACTCTGCAACTGCGGTCCAAGTCCTCCACAACCTTCAGCATCAGCATCTTTGGACCTCTCTCCAAATCCATGATTTGCAGGCACCCAATTTCTCCGTCGCATCGTTGTCCACCTCAACATCTACAGACCAGCTTTCCAGCTCACCCTCCTATCTGATCTCCGGCATCCCGCCCCACAGAATCTATACGCATCCAGACGAGCAGCTGTTCATTCTTGAGAGGGGTCTTCGCGAAGACGACATCGAGCTGGAACGAATGTTCGTTGTTCCCACCGCTCACGGACAATCATGGAGTCTGCGCAAAATGGCTGCCGTGTTCGATGCGCTTCCCGAGGACGAGGAAGAGTCACATGCTCAGTCATTAGATGATGCCAAAGAATCTGGTAATAATGCTGAGAAGGCGGCGAAGCTGACAGAGTACTATGAGTACAGACGAAAGGCCCGTATCACGAAAGAGTGGGGTGGGAAGAGACTCCTCTTGGCCATGGTCGATCGAAGCATGGGTGGTGATGGTACCGTGGTGTACTATGTCGTCCAGGAGGGTGCTGTGAAGCCGAGACAGAATTAAAGGAGGTTATGACGACCGTACAACTCCGTCAAAAAGATACAGGTATATGGGATCTGGCTGCTACTGACCATATCCATGGCTACGCTTGGAAATTGTCCTGCAAGCCAGCAGCACACTGACAACCCATTCGAATTCGCTTGAAGCTCGAAACACCAGAGCTATATACTAGCAGAGAGCTGGACTGCGAACATATACCAGAAAATCGCCCACTCGATCAAGTCAATAAGACAAAGATAACCGCCAACATCCGGTCAATTGTAATGGGGTATCGTTCAAAACGTATCGATCCGTCCGGAGTAAACAATACGAACAAGCGACCCCTATGTACCTTCTAAATACCATATACAACACCGCTCCTCTCAAGCTGCTCCTGTTCCATCTGGCAACTGGTACAGTATTTATCGTACCACTGCTGAACGTCACCCGCGAGGTCGGCAAAAACAGTTTGACTTGCTTTGTCAACCTGCATATTGACTCCGTCATCCTCCTTATTCTTTCCGAGAAGGTTTTCGACTTGGTGACAGCGTCTCAATTCCTGCCGAAGCCATCGCTCCCACTCGCCTTGGATGACCTCTCTTTCAATGCTGTTTACTACCCGGAGCGCCACTAACAAGTTGTGTCTATACATAGCGAGTCGCTCGCGGGTTTGATGGATCCGTCTGGCTGCACTCCGTGTCACTGAGTCTCGAGGGCTTGAAGCGCCAAAGGAAAGGACTGTTCCCGGGTCGCTCACTGTCTGCTGGTAGAACATAGAGAAACATCTGCTCATGTTGTTGCTAGATTGGCCGACAGTGGCATTAGCAATCACCTCGTCGATATCCCTCATATAGATGGCTTTGCTCATCACATGGTCGGGACCGACCCCAAGGCGAGCCATGAAGTTTCCCACGTTCCTCTCATGCCACCAGTCATAAGTGTACCGAGAAGTGTAGAGTCCGTTCATTAAAGCGCTGGAGATCAGCAGGGCTAGAATGACCATGTGTGCATTCGTGGTTTTCCAGGTCCAGCGAAGGAAGGCAAAAGTCCACATTATTATGGACGAAACGGCGCTCTCCAAGAAGGAAAGAAGCGTCTCGAATAACAGTTGAGTTAAGGTCCTCTGACGCCGAGGCTTTCGAGGTTCAAATTTCAGGACTGATTCGCTGGAAGAAAACTGAGATGTATGTTGTTGGCGTCCGATGTGACCGAAAATGGTGATGGCTTTTTTTGTTCGGCTATGGACGCCCAATTTTCGCACCTGATCGCTGACAAGATCAACGAGGTCCAGAGCGTCTTGCTCTAAGTCACCTGTTGCTTGCTTCTCGATGATTCCTGAAATTAACTTAGTGATTTTGCAGGACAATAGTCTCGCAAGTGCTAATAAACCACTTACTCTGGAGTCCATGAGGAGACCCAAGCCACTCCACTTTCGTGTATACAGCAAGCTTGCATTTCCCCTTCGCGACGAATGTAATCACAATCTTGCTCACCAACCTGAACGAGCGCTTAAAAGGAAGGTGCCACGGAGTCCGCTTGTCAGTCACTACGTAGCACAAGTGATCATTGAGAACATCAATGATTTGGTAATCGGAAATTGCCTTGTCCTGAGTGCGCCCTACATGAAGGGGATGGTCAGTCGCTTTGCTAGACGGTGATGAGTAGAGATACGTACCAAGCAAGTCAGTTGTCTCGATATGATATTCAAAGTCACGTCGCAAATGGCGAGATTCGTTTCTGATCCAGGGCCCCTGTTTGATATCTTCCATATCGGTCAGCCAAAGGTTATCCCAGTCATTCGGGGGGACGAACCTCGCGATCTTCTTTCGTGCAAAAGGAGTTGCCAAACAGCACTCTTGTCACCGAAAAGGATATGGAATATCGCCTTCGGACTAATATCGAATATTTTCTCTGCAGCGAGGTGGAGGTTGCCTTGGGGAACATATTGAACAGGTTGTGTTGGCAAGCGGAACTTTGGCGCATTTTTGCCATGTTTGCCATACTTTGAATGCGGATCCAAGTCATAATCGATGTAAATCGGTCGGCGGATATCTTTTTGCTGTCCGGCAGCAATGTTGTCCTCTTCGATACCGTTCTTGTCATCCGAACCGGCCGCATCTTCCCAGCTGTTCAGGCTAGGGCTACGGTTCCTCGTGTCGGTCTCCATTCTGATCAGAGCCTTGAAAATTGCTTCCAACCCCATGGGCTCCACGGCGGTTGAATCTTGAATTAAGAAATTCAGGCGTCTTTGAAGAAGTCTTAGAGGCTCAAGGAAAGTTTTCACCGTGATTCGTCCAGGAGTATCCTCACCAAGAGGCGGGATAGTATGGAGAAATAAGAAATCACAGTCTCTGCCAGGTGCAGCAGTCACTTCCTTGATGCTTTCCAGCGGGACATCTGTTGTTAAAACTAATCCAAAATAATGACTGTAAAAATATATGCTGCGAGTCGTAACGTATGCTCTTCCAGGAAATTCTTGCTGATCGTTGGGATTCCATGTGGCTCGGAAGACCATGACCAAAGGCTCCTCTCTTTTGACGTCGGGAAAGAGCAGGCGAAATTGAGCATCCTGAGGCCGAAGTTGCTCAGGGTAGTAACTAGGATACTCATGCGAAATACCCAGAATTGCCCTCTGCACCTTGGAAGCATCGCCGTCAAGACTAACGGTTTGCCTATGGCGAGGCCCAGACATCTGCTGCTTGGATGCTGAGGTGCCGTTGGTCAAATCTACGCCAGATGATTGCGGTTGCTTTGACGAATCAGCTGCCGGAGTTGATGGTTGTTGTCCGACAGAGATTTCCTCGCCGGCCCCTGTAAGCTGAGCATCACGTTCGCGTTCGAGTCGGTTCATGAAGCCCCAGTTGGAACTACCCCACAGGTTGGCCATCATACCGCTAGGCATCCCACCTGTCTTGTCGGCTTGCCCCAACCCAATACCTCGTTCATTGCTGACGATTACAGCCGCCTTGCTCATACTGGTAGGGGCGGGTGGATTCGCCAAGGTGGAAGGCGCGAGTGTGGTAGGTGGAAGGCTCCGGTTCGTCAAACTGCGACTTCTGTTCCCTTCAGCATCAGTCCCGCCCAAGGATAGGCCGTTGCTGTGCCCTAACGCGTTATGGCTGGCGGAGATCAGGCCTGCGATGCCACCACCTGCACCGGGTAGAGATATAGATGGTGGGACAGCATTATGGTTGGACTTGCGGTGAAGGTCCAATTTCTGGATGAGTCTGGAAGTATGTTCTCGCGCAGAACTCTCGGGATCCAACCCAGTCATGCGCCGAGGGCTGCCGAGATCGCTGCTATTTCGGAAGGCTGATGGGTCCCGCTCTGGAACAGACAACCCTCCGCTACGATCCGATGGTCCATGCTCATCATTTGCGTGCGGCGTAAGCGAGTCGGCCGGATCAGCAGCAAATTCAGGTGCTGGAGGCTGAGAGATTGCAAAGGCTGGATCTTGCACCGTAACCTTTCCCGAAACCGAGATGTCGGTGCTTGTCGGGTTTTCCAGTGCTTTTCGTTTAGCTGCCTCAAAAGCAGCAATCCATTCCGTGAGCTCTTTCTGAGTCTCGGCCTGCAATACTATGGTGTTGCTCTTGGTCTTCACTTCGAAGCAGAATCTTCGTTCCTCCTGGAAAGCAGGCCGTACACTGCACAACAGCACCCCTATACGCTCACTTTCTTCAACTCCGCCAGTTCGAGAACCCTGCACGAGGCAACCAAAGATACCGTTCTTTAGAAAGGCCCAACGTCTCACCCAAACAGTACGCGTTGGTTTGCCTGACAATGTTCGAAGATAAACCCAGCCTTGCTTCTCGGGCCGTGCTTCCTTGGGCATATTCAGGTCCGACAGAGGGCGAGACCCTAGATACGGAACGGTGGATACTGAATAGTCTTCCAGCTCTCGAGAAGGCCTGGCAGCCAGCTCTGCAGCGTCTTCAATATGCTTTCTGGCGGAAAGGAGCTCACGCTTTGAGAACTTCTCGCTGCCCTCCATTTCATGGATCCAACCTTTTATGCGATCCATCTCTTGGCCCCATTTGGCAAACGATGCTCCATTATCATTATGGAGAGCCTTAAATTCCCTCCACTGGTCGAAGGAAACTCGGACCAACAGTCGATCGAGCGAGTTTCGTATTTGTGGTGCTTGCACTGAAAAATCCATTGACGCTTTCAGGTAGGCTTTGCGGGCTTCGTGAAGCTGGAAAGCATCTTCTCTCAGGGATGAAGGTTCTTTTGATTTGGACTGTGAAGCATATCTAGATAGAAGGTAATCGTACTGCTTTTGCGCTTGTTCGAGAGTGCGACGAGTCTCCTGTAGCGGGGTAAGACAACGCTCCTCTCATGCCTTCAAAAGGGGCCGGGGACACTCAATTTACCTTGAAACTCCGTAAATCATCGTGGAGGAAGACTCTTATGGGCTCCGATATAAGCGATTCGATTTTCTTCGCAGTGGCCATTAAACCATTCCACAGATCTTTCGAGCTCTCACCACACCTGCTCATTGCCTGTAAAGTATAATCATGGTCGAGGACAGCTTCGGAGACGGCAGGAGGGTTCGAAGAATACGCCAGAAATGTATTCATCACATTTTCCATGGTCGCAAGCTCTGTGACGAGCTTGGAAGCAGCCTTTGCATAGCCATCCAGCCATCTTTCGAGGTATTCGATTTGCTCGGAGAAATGTAGTGTGGTGGCCCGGAAAGTCGGGGAATCGAGAGCAGCCTCTTTCAATCCAACGGGCCTGTATCGACACAATCAGGTTAGCATTACGATGAGGAATCTCTTGTCCGCACTTACACCACACTGATAAGCTTCCCAACTCGGGACAATGCGTTCTGCGGCTGAGTCGACATCTAGCGAAGATCCCCGGCCATACATTCGATACAGATAGGGGTAATAGTTTGATAGATCGAAAAGTACGACCCCAAATAGTGAAAACGACGGCTTAGGCAGCCATTCATACGGGGTAAATACACACTTGAGCAAAAGTAACAGTCATGTCGAGAGGAGAGCTTTGGAACTCTC